CGAAAATTTTTTTCTTTCTATTGTGTAACGTTTGTTATTATGACACATGTTTTTGCTGCAGTCACATGTCAAATCAAATTTTGTATTGATTTCTTTTTTTTCTGTAGTGAAAATTCTATTCAGATTGGCGTACTTGTTCAGAAGTAAATAATAATGAACACTTTTGTACATATTTGGCCAAAATCTGTAATGATTCTCATAGTTATGATGTATTTATTCTCTACTCAATGGTGTTGATGAAAGTCGACAAACAAATGCATAAAGAGATTAATAATAATGATAATATTACAAGTAAAAAAACAAAAATATTTCCTCTTTGCTTATTTTGCTTTTTTTAATCATAACTTATCATATTATTCCAAAATTAATTCTTTAACGAATGAAAAATTCTAATAAAGAATCTATTGACGTATCAAAATATTTAATTGAAAGTATATCGACTGTGTCATAAATTAAATTCATCAAATATGATCTCAAATGACTTATATGATATTAAATGTTGCTGTGATTCAGTCATTTCTTAATTAGATTTCCTCGTTCATCTCTACACCATAATAATATATTTAGCAAAAATTTAAGTAGGAAAAACGCAATCCAATTCTTCAATCTGTATTGAATCGATTTGAAAAAGATTTGATGTGGAAATCAACTAAAAACTCATTGTAATTTCATTCTTTCAAACATATAAAACTAATATATATATATACTTGTCTTTAATTGTTCTAGAATTGATTTATACCTGTGTACTTTGGGTGTGGATTTGCCTATGGCTGTGGTTTCTTCTTCTTCAATCAACCACACTCCATCTTATGAGATTTTCTTATTTGAACTATCGAATATCTAATGAAGTTCATGATTATTTTACTCATGAGGAAAGTTCTAATAACAAAAAAATTGATTTTTGAACTTTGACTTGATGTCTTGTTGTAGAGACAGATTTTAGCGAGAGTCATTTATCATCAAAATTTCAAGAACGAACATCAGATCTCTCAATTTGTACGAATGATGTAAAAGCCAAACTATTACTATACCTACATCTCATAAGAGAAAATTAGCAACAAATTTTAAAACATTGGCAAAAAATCTATTTCGGAAAACGAAACTCAGAGTATGCACATTACATAATGCTATTAGTCATGAATGAAAATCAATTCATCAGTTCGAAAATTTCAAAAATATTTAAAACACAGAAATTTTATCTTAAGGTACATTTCATGATCATATATGATTTATGGATCAAATTAATAACACAATAAAGAAACTCTTTTTGGGAATGGCACAAAAGTCGAAATCAATATTTTGTTTATTAAATACATGGAAGAAATATTAACTTACTTCTAATAGAATATTATAAATCAATGAATATAAATTAATCGTTGATTTATCTTTTTTTTTATCGATAATATGTACATTAAGAGAAAAAAAAAGAAATGTAAAAATGACCATATATTTCATTTAAAGTGTTGTATGTCAAATTAGAATCCAAACAAACAGACACTAGTTAAACAAGAGAAGGGATATAAGAATAACAATATTTATATAAATGTATCTTTATATTTTACTCGTGTAAATCTAGTGTCCCTGTGTATATTTTGAATTTTACTTGCAATCGTTGTATGTATTGTAGGTATATAGTTTTGTTGTTTTCGTGTCGTAGTATATTATAACATATGAGCAACCATCTTAATTCTATAAATGCTTTATCATATATAATTAAATATTATTAGAAACAAATCGTGTCTTTTAATTCATTTCTCCTCTCATAAATAAAATACATTTGTTCTTAGTGAAAATCTGTTAGAATAATATCTATTGAATATGAAGTGTGATTATGAAGAACAAACAGACTCAAACTCATGCTCACATCTACACGTGGCATTATTTCGATACTCATTCTTCCTACCTATGTTGGAAAAAACCTTGGCAACAATGCAAACAATATTGTTTCATTTTATTATATGTCTATTTTTCTTCTTCCCTGATTTGTTGAGATGATGATGCAAACTTCAAAAGAAAACATAATGACTTGCGTATAACAACCAAATCAACAACTAAATGAACTTCTGTTGTATTTTCAAGAAAAGATACTTTAGTCATAGAAAATAATTATGTTTTCAACATTTTTACTCTAACTACACAAATGAATTCTTTTTTTTTTCGTTCTTTTTTTCTTTTTTTGATAAGACACTTATTTTATTGATTGATGTCTTGCACATAGAAACGTAGGCAAAATAAGAGAATTTTCTAATGATTCCAGACAGGAGTAAAGAAAAAGAAAAACAATGAAAACAAAAAATATAGCGACTTATTTTGAAATTCTATTTGTAACTTTTTGTTTTTTCTTTCCTACAAATCATGCGCAATTGATCGATAATACAATTATTCAGTTATTGGTGACACATGTTTCGTCACTGTCGTTTTGTCAATAAAAAAAACTCTTGAAATAAAAAGAAAACGAACGAACAAACAAAAAATTGGGCAAAGAAATCCTTCAAGTCTTCTATAGCAACAAAAATAACAAACCAAAAAATAAAAACTGTCAACACGAAAAAAGAAAAAAAAAACTATTGAAAAAAATCATTTACGAAAAACACAACGTCATTATTATCATCAAAATCATCCAAATGGACAAAAAGCAACATTCAAAATCAACTGCTAGTGAATCATCTTCTCCTTCCACAATAAATAAATCAAAAGAATCGTCATCAACAACAGCAGCAGCATCATTACCAACAACAACGACAAGCAGAAATGCAGTACTACCTCAAACTGCTCGTCGGATTCTTCAAAATTTCCTTTTGGTATGGCTCGATGCCAATTTGCAAGAATCAGATAACGATTTTAAGAATTCATTGCAACATCTTCGAAAAATTGTGGCATCTATCACAACGTTTACGGATGCCCAACAATGCGTTAATTTCCTAAGTGAAATCAAAAAAGAAAAGGTATTTATGATCGTATCAGGTTCTTTGGGTCGTCAAATAGTACCAGAAATCGAAGCATTGCCACAACTGGAAGCAATTTATGTGTTTTGTGGTAACCAATCGGTTCATGACCAATGGGCTAAAAAAATAAGCAAGGTTAAGGGTGTATATACTAAAATAGAACCAATTTGTCAAGGACTTGAAATCGATCGACAACGATGTGATCAAGCTATGATCCCGGTCAGCTTTAATGGTCGTGATGCATTATTTATGTATACACAACTTTTAAAAGAAGCGCTTTTGGAAATTGAAGATGACGATGTCAAATCGATTAAAGATCTCGTCGAATACTGTCGTCTGCAAGATGATATTGATGAAGATGAAATAAAAAAAGTGCAGCGAGAATACCGAAACCAGACACCAATTTGGTGGTATACGGCTCCTTATTTCATGTACTCAATGCTCAATCGTGGGCTCCGAGAAATGGATGTCGATATTATCCTGAAGATGGGCTTTTTCATCCGACATCTACATCAGGATATTACCGAACTACATCGCGAACAACAAGGAAACATGCCAACAAATTTTCAAGTCTTCCGTGGACAAGGTTTGTCCATGGAAGATTTTGAAAAAATGAAAAAAACCAAAGGGGGACTTATGTCCTTCAACAATTTCCTGTCAACAAGTCGCAACCGTGAGATATCTTTCAAAACCTTTGCACGACCAGCAGCATTAAATACAAATTCAGTTGGTATTCTCTTCGTTATGAACATTGACACGGGTATTTGCACAAAATCATCAACACCATTTGCTGAAGTAAGTAAAGTTGGTTACTACAAAGATAAAGAGGAAGAAATACTCTTTTCAACACATGCGATTTTTCGTATCGATCGCATTGAACGAATTCCCGATAATCACTGTGATCGGCTATACGAAGTCACTCTCACTATTGTGGGTAATGACAATCATGAGTTGAACACACTTACAGCACATCTGCGAGAAAAGTCCACTTGGGCAACAGGATGGGCTCGATTTGGTTACATACTTATTAAACTTGGTGAGCCTGCAAAAGCAGAACAACTCTATCAGATGCTCATTGAAAAGGCGCCTTCTGATAAAGATAGAGCTGATTACAATCATCAACTTGGCTGGGTGTATTATAATATGGGACAGTATTCAAAAGCACTTTTATATTATGAAAAATCACTGGATATTTACAAGAAAATTCTCTCTCCAAATGGTCTCAGTTTGGCTTCTTCCTACAACAACATCGGGTTGGTGTATGATGACATGCGCGAGTACTCAAAAGCACTTTCATCGTATGAACGATCACTTGAAATCAAGAAAATAGCTCTCCCTCCGAATCATCCCGACTTGGCTAGTTCCTACAACAACATTGGTATGGTGTATAATAACATGGGCGAGTACTCGAAAGCACTTTCATATTATGAAAAAGATCTTGAGATTACCAAGAAAGCTCTCCCTCCGACTCATCCCGACTTGGCTGCTTCCTACAACAACATCGGTGCAGTGTATTATAGCATGGGCGAGTACTCAAAAGCACTTTCATCGTATGAACGATCACTCGAAATCCGTAAAATAGCTCTCCCTCCGAATCATCCCGACTTGGCTGCTTCCTACAACAACATCGGCATGGTGTATAATGAAATGGGCGAGTACTCGAAAGCACTTTCATTGTATGAACAATCACTTGAAATCAAGAAAATAGCTCTTCCTCCGAATCATCCCGACATGGCTTCTTCCTACAACAACATCTGGATTGTGTATAAAAACATGGGCGAGTACTCAAAAGCACTCTCATTTCTGCAAAAAGGACTTGAGATACGACAGGAACTACTTCCGTTCAATCATTCTGACATTGCGCAGTCAAAAAGAAACATTGAAGATGTAAAAAACAAAATATAATTTTTTTTTTTAAAGAGAAAATAAACTGGCCACCTTGAAACTTGCCTCGCCAAAGCGCAGCAGCTGCAATATTTCGAGCGCGCGACCAGAGATACCCTCCGTATTCTGCTGGCTCGTATAGTGGACAAAGCCGGCAATGATTAGGCAAACATACATCGATGTACGTATGAATAGTACAACCATGATCATCATCTTCGAAAAGACGATGACGAAATGGACGCTTCTATTCATACATACATTGATGTATGTTGTGAAGGCCTACCATCTGCACGCCTGCCCGGGTCACCAACAGAACGTCGGATATCCCTGAGAAGGTTCAATTGTTTTAGAACCACCCTCAAAAGCTCCATTAGTTAGAAAATTATTTTTATTCTTCTGTTACGAAGAACGAGAAGAAATAGAAACGGAAAGACGCGATGAAAGACGACGTTATGGAATGATAATACGCAGCGCATGATAACAACCGGTGTTTGCCAAGCAATGGAATCTTGAGTGCACGATATCTTTGTCGTCTTTAAACATTTCATGTTCAATTCGTCTGAGTTTTCATCTCGAATGTGTAAGAATAACTTGAATGTCGTGCACTCACCATTGTAGCAAACGAACGATGATTGTATGAAACGGCGAATAAAAACAATACATTCGCCGTCAATTTGAGTAATAACTCATGCACTGCATATCCTGAAATTGAGATAAAGAGTAGAAAAAGGGAAAATTTTAAATATATATATTTTTTTTACATTTTATTATGATATCTGATGGTTACATTAACATTGATGCTCAAAAAAAAAAAAAGATATCATTTTTCACAGCACCTCTTTTTAAATCTGAGAGAAAAATATACCATTCCATGTGTCGTCATCTAGTTTGTGGAAGAGTGAACACTGCATCTTTCTACCTTATTTCTATGAAAAGTTATTCAAAAGATACTCATTAGTCTTTCTGTTTTAAATGAGTATTAATATAAATATCTCATAGGAAAATAGAGTTTTCATTTTACTATCAGTCCAGACAAAAAAGAAAGTTTCCTCTTGGTTACTATGCACTATTAGAAATCCTCGCGTAGAATAAATATTTTTCTTTATATATTCATAAAATAATTCTTAATTGAGACAAACATTTAGAATTATTTTAAATTATTATTTCATCTTAATATTTATTCGTCGATTAATAAAAATCTGTTCCATATAATATCTATTTTCTACGAAATATAATTAACAAATATCATAGTTATTTTATGTAAATAATTAAATTTTCATTTCCAAGAAAAATACTTTTCTTTTTAACTAGAACAAAAAAATCTATATATTTTTTATCGAAAACGATTAATAAGTGGATGATGTTGATAATATAAAAATCTTTTCACGTATATCTCTACAACTAATAGATTGATCCAGAAAAAAAAAAGATGTTCAATTTTCCTCTACTTTTATTTAGAATTACGAAATCATTTTTTCACATTCTATTTCGATTAATATTAACATATTTTGATCGATTTTTATGTTTCTCAATAGGATTCCATACAAGAAAAACAAATTCTCTTACTTATTAAATAAGGTCTTATAAGAAAATAAGTATATAGAATTGATTGAAAGACTTTTCTAATTTAAGACATAATAAATTTAATAATTATTTGCTATATTCACAATCAGCTCTCAATTTCAGTTACATAAGAGCAAAATTTCTATAATAAAAAGTACATATATAATAAAGTCTTTTCTTACATTTTAACACAATGCATAATAAAATTTGAATTAAAAAATAAAATAATCGTTTTATTAATATATATATATAATACTCGTTAGTTAGATCATTTATGAAAAAACAACAATTGTGGATATGTACAACAGATCATCTTGTGCTTGTCGTCTTTATTGATGCACATCAAATATAAGGATATATTATTTATGAAAATCAAATTCTACACTGTGAAATGTAATCTTGAGTTTTCGTAACTCTAATCAACAATGGCGCTTAAGTTTTTGGCTTAAAACTAATAACTAATGTGTGTCCGAAAACAAAAGTCATCGCCAGATATACAATAACTCCTCCACAGAAACAGATAGTAACCCAGAAATTTTACTAGTCGAAAGAGGAGAACTCTATCGGACATCGTTTTATCTGATACTAAGTGCTGTGTAGCATGATTTTCAAAATAGATCGTTAGTGTAGAACATTAAATCGAACAACTTCGCACAAATTTTTGTTATTAAAATTTACTTGAAGTGAAACAATTTTCTCGTGTATGTTTTTAAATTTTTTACAAGGAGCATAGATTACAAAGTAGTTTTCTCTTTAATACTATCAGATGAAAAGGCTTCTCATAGGGTTCTCTTAGTTTAATTGTTGTGAAAGGCACAAGCAATACTGGCTATTGCTGTTGTCAAGTTATTGAGATTACACTGAAAAATTAGATTCTTCAACGATGATAATAATATAACTATTATTTTTCCAAGTAAACAACAGGAAATTGATAAAATGATTTTCTTTTCGTTGAATAGATTTCAACTTTTTACTTAACTTCAACAAACAAATAATGTCATGTTATCTTCTGGATTAAAAATTAAGTTTTCATTTTGTATCTGTTTCAGTCAGATAAACCTAAAATGAAATAAAGACA